ATTTTCGCAGGCTTTTGGGTCAATTCTATGAGACCCTGGGCGACGCATACTTAGTCTATTCAGAGATGACTGTGTAATTTATCGTCCTATTTACAATGAAAGGGACACTGTCATCCTGATATCTGATTTTTCTTCGATTCAATCTTGGTGCAAAAACTGGCTGATGTCCCTTAACATAAAGAAAACCTGTGCCATTTCTTTCTATCGCCGACAATCTTATTCCTCCAAAAAATACTTCCTGTTTGATTCTGAAATTACAGCATCTACTTCATGTAAATACCTCAGTATCACTCTAACTTCAGATCTCACGTGGTCATCCCACATAATGAACATCACTAATGACTCAAACCTCGTTCTTGGCTATCTCCGAAAAAATTTACGACTAGCCCCGCCTTATGTTAAACTTTTAACCTATCTAACACTAGTCAGCCCGAAGCTAGAATATGCATGTGTCATCTGGGGTCCCCATCAATTCACCCTAATTAAAACACTTGAATCCATCCAAAATCGCGCAGTCAGATTCATTTATTCGGACTACTCCTATCACAGTAGCATCCCCGAGCTAAAATCTCGTGCTAACATGGTTAGCTTAGCTTCGCGCCGTAAAGTTTCAAGACTGTGTTTGTATCATAAATTTTATCTATTGCACCTAAACCATGTTATCGTTCCAGCTCATTGTCTTTCATGCCGTATCAGCCATTCCAAAGCGGTTTATCCACACCATGTGCATACCACTGCCCACCACTCTTCATTTTTTGTGCAAACATCAATAGAATGGAACGATCTTCCTGCTGACGCCGTGCACCACTTCACCATCGCCCATTTCAAAGAAGCCATCAAAAAAATCATTCGTTTGTGAACTGTCTATCCCCTCATGTAACACCCCTTGAAAAGGGCCCTTGAGGTATTATAAATAAATAAATAAATAAATAAATACTTGACGAGACAAGAGCACGGACACATTGCCTTCCACAACTCGGAGAGCCGTTCGGTTGATGTCACTCAGCACGTTAACCAGAACACTGGAACAGGGCGGTACTGTCACTGAATCATCGGATATACGCAACGCCATCATACGCGATTCACAATTTTGAGAATGTTCATTACGTGAAAACGTCACCACCAATTCTCGGAGATTTATAATAGCCCCATATTCTCGAAGAAATTCTAATCCCAAGATGACCTGCCTGAAGCATTCCCGCAGTACGACGAAAGTCCCGATGAAGGTCGAAGCGCCAATATGTACTCGGGCAGTGCACCTCCCAACAGGCGTCACTAGATGACTACCCGCGGTACGGAGCTGCGGGCTGTTCCATGGCGTCACCACTTTTCGGAGAGCAGCCGCGAAGTCGCCACTCATAATGGAGTAATCGGCGCCAGTATCCATGAGTGCGGTGGTCGAGTGATTGTCGACGGTTATAGAAATATCAGCGGAAATTGCTGCGTCAAGTTCAGAAAATTTCGTGACAGAAATATCGGCGTCGTCAACGTGTCGTGGTGGAGTTTGTTTGTCAGTCTGGTCAACAGCGGCCCTATCCCCAGAGGTCGCTGGCCTCATTTTTCCTGGCGTGGGCCAGGACTTGGGGACCTGTTTCTTACACCAGAGAACGTCACGTAACGACTAGGCGAGCCGAGGCACCGAGGAGAAGGTGGGCGTGGCCGGTGGCTTTGTGCAGGAGGAAATGGCTGCTGCGCTACTAGGTATTGCTGAACCTCGCAAGGACACTCCCCGTTGCTGGGTCGACGTGCGTTAGGGTGAAACCCCTGAAGGCCCATCCTGCGATACGCACACTGGCGGTACAGATGGCCCGCTTCCCCGCGGTGGTAGCAAAGAGGCCTGTTGTCAGAGGTGCGCCATACGTCAAATTTATGGGTGACTTCACGCGAAACGTCATACTGGACAGTGCTCTCGTAGTTATTTGCAGGTGCGACTTGACGGGGCGATAGTAAAAAAGTAGGGGGTGGCCGGCGTCCGGTAGAATGTTGAGGCCTCCTCGATCTTTGGCGTAAGAGAGCAGAAGCTTCCACACGCATTGGGAGCAATGGTTGGGTCACATTCCCGAGTTCATCGCGAATAAGGTCTCCCAGAATCGTCGCACTTGGTTGAGCAGAAGTAGGATGGAATTTTTTGAGCTCCTGCCAGACCACGCTCCGCACAAGCTCGTAAAGTACTGATAAGTCCTGTCAACAGGTGAAAGGTGACACCGCGGCAACAGAAGCTTGGCGGTCGTACTGTAGAGAGCGTTGTTGAAGTGCCCGTTTCATGGTAGTAGCTTCCGCGATGAACTCATCAACAGTGGTTGGGGGCTTGCGTATGACTCCAGCAAAAAGTTGCTCTTTGACACCCCGCAGGAGGAGTCGAACTTTTTTTGTTTCATCCATCCCTGGGTCAGCGCGCTTTAACAAGAGTGACATGTCTTCGACAAACATAGCCACGTTTTCATTTGGCTTCTGAGCCCGGCTCTGCAGAGCCTGCTCGGCCCTTTTCTTTCCTTCCGAGATTTCTGAATGCCTGGCATAGCTGTCGCTGAAATGCTTGCCAGTTGGTGATAGACGACTCATGCTTCTCATACCAGATGCGAGCGTAGTCTTCAAGTGTGAAGTAGACGTAGCGAAGCTTCTTGGTGTTGTTCCATTCGTTGGCGGTTGCGACCCGATCGAAGTGGTCTAGCCAGTCATCTACGTCCTTGAATACATCACCATGAAACGGCTTTAGGGTGCGTGCTGTGTAGACAACGCTTGGGGTAGATGCGAGTAGGTCTACATTGTTCTCTTGCGTCTGACTTGCCGTTGTGGTGGTCATTTTTGCAGAGCTCAAGGGACCAAATTCAGGAGGTAGTCCTAGCAAGTGTCGGCTGAGGCGAAGTGCCAGGTTTTCCTCCGGAATTGTTGAAATGGCGGCAGAAGCTTGAAGCGGCTTGCGTTAAAACTAGTGAATTGAGATTGTACCCAGCACGTGCACCAGTTTGTCACGGTAATAAATAAGTGCAGGTAACAGTGTAGCAAACAGCAGAACAGCCTCGATCGAGCAGCTCGAGTTTGTCATCATCCTTTCTGCCCACCAAATCCTTCGACACGCACAAGTAATAATGACACTAGCCACGCAACAGCCAGAAACTCACTACATGCTCGTGTCAATATTACAGAACTCCGACAAAACGCTGGTGTGAGCAAATACAGCCGCTCCAGGGAGCAGCGCTCTTTCCACACAGCCCCATCGCATTGAAAAAGCCCCCCCCCCCCCCTCCCCCCGCCTTCCCGCGTTGTTTCAAGCTCGTTCAAGACGGGTGGCTGTTTACTTTCTGTTTGAGCATCCAACGGCATTTATAACACGTGGGAGATGTTATCTTATACACTTCCAGGCCATAGGAATGGGTTGACTCTAGGCTTGTGCGAATAGTGAATTTTTGATTCGAAGCAAATTCGAAGCGAATAGTGATTTCGACCGAATAATTTCTAATCAAATTCCTATGGTATGACAGATAAAAAAAAAAGGGAATATTCATCATGACCCAAGTGACCTGCACAATATTTCTTTTGAACGAAATTGAATAGAGGCTCTATGAAAATGTCACTTTTTTTTTTGTTCAAAGGAAGTCGAAACAACCTTAAGTAGTTGCGATAGGATGCAAGTGATAACCTGTAAGATACTTAGTGTTTTAAAATTTATTATACCTGGATCATATAAACCAACATAAGTAGCTTAATAAAATGAAGAATTGATTTGAGGGTAACATGTTGCCTTAAAGAGGCTCTTTAACGCTTTCTCAAGTAGCCATAGAGCCAGTAAACATGCTTGTTGTTTCACAAATTTACTTTCGCAAAGTTTTTAGAATCAGTCCAGTACGAGCGGAGTTCCAAAAATTTGTCGCTCACGGCAATTGCATCCTCTCCTCTCGTCCCGACTAAATAGATGGAAGCTAAGCTGGGAGGAATGGCACGGAAAAAGAAAATACACCACACGCACCTTGTGACCTTGAGCACTTCTTTGTTTCCCCTCGAATACGTGGCTTTTCAGTGCGATTGCACACGCAGTCGTGGATGAGCGGCGCCCCAATAACGACAAGCGTGCCATGCTCAAATCGGCCAATGCCTGTGACCAGAGCCGTATATTCCTTCTTGGCTATGACAAGTGGCTTTTGAGCTTGTTGTGTCATTTGCCAAGAAAGGAAAGCAATTTTTAGCTTTCAAAATTTACTGTGAATTACAGGCCACGTGCTACAGTGAAATATTTGCCTCGCGTGCGGCAGCGTTTTCTGACCACGTTCAATAAGTGTTGCAGTGCCCCTTTAAATTTGAAAGACGGCTTCACGGCAAAACAATGTTTTTTTGAATAGGTGCTTTTTTTTCTTAGAACACCTACATTGCAGTGAAACCACCTTTACAAGCGGTGATATGCGGATTGATACACATCTATTCGTTCATTGCGAATACTTCGAAAATATTAGATAATTTATATTTGAATCGAAGCAAATTCAAATACTCAAGTATTCGTTCGAATATTCGAAGCATTCTAATATTCGCACAAGCCTAGTTGACTCATTTTGATCTCTGCTGCAAAAGCCCTCGTGCGCTTTTACCTGCTCATGAAAGTTACGATGCGCGAGGGCATGTTATCAGTTTGGACTTGTTACGGAATATAGCGGCGACGGCAAAAACCTGCCGAGAGTGACCATATAATTTCCATCACAATAATAATGCAGTTTTTAATGTGAAATAAGTGTTTTGGGTTATCTCTGCCTTCAGTCCCCTTTTTGTTTAACTTGCGTGTTTATTTTCTAAATTCTTGTACAGAACCTGCATATAACAAAATCCTCTTTATAACAAACTTTTTGGGAAATTTACAAATTTCGTTATATCCAGGTTTAACTGCATTGATAATAAAAACAAGCCCTTAAATTTTAATGCCACCGAAAGACAATGAATCACAGATCTGCTTGCACAATTGCGAACATCAATGTCAGAGACAATACTCTGAGATCACTCAACAAAATGCATACCCTGCTCTTGGGCATGGCCTTCAGGTAGTGTGGGTTGCTGGCCTGCTCCTGCCTGCGAGCTTCTCTCATCTGCAGTGCAAGGGGGAGTAAAGCCAGCATGACACATATGAGAGGTGCTTATTCGGGCTGGCACTTTCAAGGAAACTGGAAAGAGCGCTAAACAGAGGATAGAGACGGACCAATCTTTGCTCCGTATGAAGGGAGTGGTATATACCCGCACACTGACACAGATCATGAAAGAGTGCTAACAGTTCTATGTAATCACAAAAAAAAAAATGGAAACGTCAAAAGATATGCCAGTCTCTTGGTGCAGATCGCTATTGGCAGCACAACCACGCACATATCACCACTTTTTTCGCACCTCACATATACTTGCCAACTATTTACATGCCAGCCACAATTAAAAGTGTGCCTAAAACCTGCACTGTGACTAGGCTATTTTTGAAGTCCCCACACACGTTAACCAGGCTTCCCTCCAGGCTTGAAGAATACAAAGCTTTATCACTTGATCACTTATGCTTACCCTTAAGAATTGTGGGTTAAGTGTTTCAATTTTTTTTTTTTTTTTTGAGTAAATGTCAGTTTCAATACAACACCGTGTGCCTTCTGATTTCTGGTATCCTGTTTCGTCACGCTTATCGTACTGTGTGTGCTTAGTGTAAATGGAGCCATCTTTTTCATTCTATTAAACTTATTCAGCATATCTGTCTCATATCATGAAAGTGCTCATTACGCAGTTCTTTTTACATTTTTTTTCTTTCAGGGGTCTCAATCAGGCTCACTCATGAAATATAGTTTGCACTTAGGGCTGACTCGTACTCCAAAGCATCAAAATTTTCCTGAGCCGGACTCACTCGGACTACCACTCAAAGAAATTTTTGTCAACCAAACTAAATCTGAATCAATTTCAGCAATATATTGCTTACCACTCAGACTCAGACTTAAGGCTCCATTTGAGTCAGAGTGGGTTGACTTATGAGTCTGTTAGTCTAGAATTAGCTTTTTCGACCATAGAATCAATGCTCTTTTACTCTAATATTTCACGTCAGACCCAACGCATCAATGGCCTAATTGATGACTCTTTTTGATGACTGGTGTAGGCCGCAATCGTTCCGGCTCAAAGTGAAAGAGCTGTAGTTCCTCCAGGAACTGTTGTGCAAGGTTGTGCCAAGTCCGGACAGCCTCATTTGGGACCTCCGAGGTCGATGGCCAGTTCCCAGGCCTCTTTCACCAACATCCTTCAGAACCAGGCAGCTACTGCTTTCGTCGCTGACCTCCCTGACCTTCGCAGTTCGTAGCTGCACAGCACAGTGCCAGCTCATCGTCCGTGATTTTCTAGCACAGCTCGGGTTGCATGCTACAAGCCTTTTCCCAACCAATCTCGTACGTGAACATGGCGTGTTTGCCCATCATCGGGGTCTCGCACAAGTGCACCGCTTTCCAGAGCCTAGCACAAGCCTTGCATCTTCTAACTTATGACATTTATCAAGAACTGCTTTGGAAGAGTTGGCGGGAGGGGAGGACTCAAGGCACTCCCTACATAATTCACACCTCCGATAAATAAATATTGAAAAGTAGTGTATGAGCAATAATACTTCGGAATACCTGTCAGTACACGTCACGTAAGCCCAGGTAAGGTTCGTAGTAATGCCGAAGATAGGACCATGGGTCGACAAACAAAGTGTCACTCAGACACAGAGATATGTACCTTGTCCTTTAGACTCAAAGCTCGATCCGAGTCTGAGTAAGTTTGTTGACCTATGGTGACAACTGATAGACACACACCAAGATGCCATGCTCTAATTACTGACAAGTGGAGAAACAGAAAGGCTACCTTGACGCCTCAAGAAAGTCAAATGACAAATGCCATTGCCGAGCATGCACATGACCATAATTGTTGCCAAGGAAAAAGGCGTGTCATTTCACCAGCTCCTAGAACCACCAATCATTGTCAATTCCAGCTACAATGACATTTATTAAGCATGCTTTTTGCATCACCTACAGGCTAGATGATGACTTGTAGTCTAGCTCAGAGAACATGGAAGCCATATGCGGTTCCTAAATGTCAAATCATTTCATTAGACGTCACCAGTAACCGTGTTATACCTCATGCAATGCTCGACCAGACGAACTTTCGTTCAACTTCCGACTACGAGATGTATCACTTTCTTTTTGGCAGTACAGTGGAATCCCACTAGAACAAGTGTCTGCTGCAATAAAATTTCCGCCATAACGAATAACTGAATGTACAAACAGCACAATTTAGAATTAGTTACAACGTAACTACGGAAGCGAAAAAAAACAAGGATAGAAAAGAGCGCTATGTATACTTGTTTTTTTTTTTTGCTTCTGTAGTTACGATGTACCTACTTCTAGGTAGCGCTACTCGTACATTTGTTATGTCCTACCAACGTGCCAAAGTTTCCACGCTTCATAGCGAATAATTTTCTATTTCATGTCAGCGACCCACTAGAAAACAATGTGGAAAATATCTTATCATAACGAATACTTTTTCAGGATACTTCTCCCACAACCAAGTTTTTGCAAGTACTACTATTTAAGGGGAAAAGACATGCTTAGGATCGCCGCGAAATACAGCTACCAACTCTGCCATTTTTCACTGGCTCGTGACAATCCAGGTGCCAGCCACGTCGCAACACCGGTACCTCTATTGGAGACATGCTTTCTGCCATCCCATACACGCACATTCCGATAAATTTTTTTACCTTTGAGATGTCGTCTACCAGCATTATGGCCTGAGATCGCCCGCCTACCACGATACTGCCAGTGGGTATGATGCACGTGTGGGCCATGGTAGAATCGTTCTTCAAGAACACCTGCCCTTTTTTTGACATTGCGTTCAAAACAAAACTACCGCTTATCATCCCTAGCCCTGCAATGGTGAATAACATTATGAAGGCGCACGGGTGGCCAGCATGCACCAAGCATAATGCCACCCTCTTGGCCAAATCACTTCCAAATTTGCAGTGCAGTGTTGCTTGGCCTTTTAAGAAACCAATGTATAGGCCTGTATTTCACACTTAGCGGGCAAGAAGTCCAAGTACAATTGCCAATCCTAGCAAAATGGCATTTTTTATTTTTTGATGGGCCGTAACATGTTTTTATTGATCGTGAAAGCTGATGTGCTAGATTATAAATAGGGAAAACTTAAAAAATATGAAAAATTGCTTAATTTTAATTATTGCCCGAAACTTCCCCTTGCATGCTCTTTTTTTAAGTTAGCGCAATATCTTTTGATTGAAAAGTGTTATTTTATAAGCTTTGGCAGTCTTATAAGTAAGCATGCTGAGAAAGTAATAAGTAATTTTCACCACTATATCATAGGCCCTTTCTTAAATAAAAACCTGCAAACTAGGCAAAAAAAAAACATTTTTTAGGTAAAATTTGATAATTTTTATTAAAAAATCTACACTATGCAGAGAATCGAAATATAATTAATCAAGAGTGCAAGTGCGTTTATATTTAGCCAAACGAATTAGAGGTATTGGCTTCAATCAATTTTCTTTAATTTGTTGTGAAAGTAAAAAAACAACAACAGAGCAGGTAAGCCCAGCACTCCGCCTTTTCGTCATTATTGATTTACTGCGCTTCGAAAAAAATTTTTCCAGCAAAACCAATTGTGGATCTCTTCTTTACACTCATCAGGCAACAATATATAAACTTTTAACGAAATTGAAGAGGTCGACCAGCCATGCTTTATTCAATCTTACATGGAATCACCAAACTATCGTTTGCTGACTGGTGTGCAGAAAACCGCAGTCACTATCTTCACGTTCATCAATAGGGAATACGCTGGAAAGATGGGTGGCTAACATGGCCGTAGATAAAAAAGCAGTAAAGCTGTAAAATGTCACAAAGCATTAAGGCTGTATTGTCGTTTACTTGTTGCTACGGCAGTATGAAGCAGTAGCCTTATGTTCAGTTCTCTTTAGCAAAGCTTTGGCACCCTCGTTCGTAGCTCTGTGCACTTGGCACACTCAAAGGGTCGTCTGAATATTGCATTCTCTTGCATAACCCGCTTCTGCATATAACTGGCAACCCTGACTGCAACCCGCGGGAAAAAAAAAGTACCCGCGTATTGAAGCAAAGCAACCTTTTTTGGATTACTGTGAAGAAGTGCCGTGAAGCCAACTTGCACACTCGTATAACCTGCATGCCGACTCTGGCTCCAAATTATTTTGTATATTTTGATCGTGTAATACGCAGACAAATATGTTCACTCGATTTGCGACCAGGTAGGTTTGAGTTACTGAGAGTTCAATGCATGCACTTGCTGGGACCAAAGAATGAGTTATAATCATCAGATATTACCCAATTTCGTGGTCTATATACAAAGCTTTGCTACAACGAAATTTTATGAAAAATGAATTTTTTTTGTGTGTCCCGTCAATTTCGTTGTAGCGAGATTTGACTAACACACTTTCTTCTTCCAAGAAAGAGCAATGCTGTGGATGCATACAAAATTCCAAACTATCAGCCCCAACAACCAGACATGCTTTGGCAAAAACTCACACTCTCCAGTTCTTCTTTGCTAGGCTCATATTTCTTCTCTGAGAAGCGGGACACAGCTGCACTCCTGGAATGAAGAAGGCGACACTGTACAAACAAGAAATATGATGGGGAGATACATGGCTTGAGGAAATAATGTGTTATGTTTTATGTCGGAACCAGATGAAACTAGGTGGAGTTAATTAGTTTTTTTTTACTGGATCAAATACAGAATAACTTCTTTTGTAGGTAACCTGGTTTAAAAATACACAAAGCTCCCTCTCTGTTAAAAAAAAAAATCACAGTATTTTTGTTCATGCACGCTTCACCAGTGACGTCTTTTTATTTTTGGTTCATTTATTGTAAACAGTATAACTGCTCTTTCATTTTGCATTATGCATGGCATTGCACCGCTTTTTCACTGCGTTGATGCGAGACTTTTATTTTTCTACTTTCCTCTTCAAATGCCAGTGTATAACATTATTGGTTTACTTATAGTGTTATTTGTATTATTAGTGTGCGCAAGTTGTGAAATTTTACTCTATGACTGTATAAATAGGAATGACCACATCTTTTGTACAAATAACCACTCCCCTCTGTAATGTCTGTTGACCCTGAAAATAATAAGTACCGTACTCTCATTAAATGAAAATGTGTTAAACGAAATCGTTTTTTAAATAGAACAACTGTGTCTGAAATATTTAGTTAAGCACTTGTACTCTGTACCCTTGTTCATCTATCAATAAACAAACTTCCTGCTAAATAAAAACATTTCCCTATTTCCTTCAGGTTCTATTTACCAAGAGCTTACTGTGAATAAATATTGTTCATGCTGACAGTAGGAAAAAGAGTTAACATTGTGAGATAGCTACATATTGTACTAATGTGCAATAAAGCGCAGCACTGCAAACAGTTTTAAAATAAAACATAACTACACTCAGTCGAACACCGATATATCGAAACCACATATATCGAATTTTCGGGTATATCGAACTCTTACGTTATCCCCTTGAAATTCCTTTGTAAAATTATATAAATTCGCACATTTATGCCGAACGGTATTTTTACCCGCCTTTGGATATATTGAACACCGCCCGAGCCGAAAGGTGGGCTTCGCCACTTGCCACGCTTCGCGATCTCCACGGCAGCACGCGCGAGTTGAAAGGTGCGTTTGGGCACTCGCAGCGCCAGGCGATCTCTGCGTGGCACCACGCCTCCGCTGAAACCCGAAATGCTTGAAAAAGGGTAAGGGCTCAGACTGCAAACCTGTGGAACGGTTCTTTCTTTCTTTCATTTCTTTCTCTCTCTATAATGCTTTCATCGCATACCCGTCGGAGCTGAGAGCCGATGTCCTCCTTTTTTCGTCTCTTATTTTTTGTTGGTGTTTCGCAAGCTTTGTTCAGCCAACCACAGCTCGCGCCTTTTGCTGTTGCGAGCAAAGGCAACCATTGCCTCGAGACCGCTTTGTTGTTTCTGTTATCGCATCCCCTACATACCACCGCATGCGCACCATTCCTCTTTTGAGTGGGTGCTGTGCAAAGTCGCTGCAAACTCCTTGTATCGCCGACTTCTCGTGTAGCTATGGCCAGTGTCAAGAAGTGCAAGACATTGACTTTGCGACGAAATGAAGGCTACTGAGCGTGTTGAGGAGGGCGAAAATGTTTGACCGTTGCGGACGACTTCACGACACCACAGAGCACTCTGAGTACCTTGTTGAAGAGCAAAGCAGATATTAAGGCAAAGGCAGCAGAGCAGCAAACGTCAGGAGCCTGTCATGTGTGTGGGAATATAGAAAGGGCACTCTATGCCTGGTTTTTAGAAGTGCGCGCGAAAAAACATTCCGGTGGATGGCCCGATGCTGATGGCCGAAGCCAAATGATTTACCGCTGCACTCAGTGAAGCCAACTTTGCCGACAACACTGGGTGGCTTCACCGATTTAAGCAGTGCTGCAACATCGTTGGCGAAATCATTTCTGGCAAAAGCTGTCAACAGCCCGGACATCCAGCAGTGGATGACGAAGTTGGCCGAAATCTTTGCGGGGTTTTCTTTGGCGGAGATCTTCAACGCCTGGCGAGACGTGAAGATGGGCACAGTGATCAACTGCTTCTGCAAGACAGCCTTTCAGACGATGAAACTTGCGGAAACCGGTGAAGACGGCGATGACGAGCGCATAGATGATGCGTTTCGAGAGTTGTCGTCCCTCTTCCTGGCAGCAATTCCACACGAAGTGTTTGCGGACGACTAGGTGGAAGCGGACTGCAATGTACAGGCCATTATGAGCCTCGCTGACGGGCACATACGTAGTAGCTGAGGTCGCACGGACCCAGGATGCCCAGGCCGACAGCTCATGTGACGAGGAGGATCACCCGGACGAGGTGCTGGCTACCCGCATACTCGGCCCGCTTAAGTGGCGGCAGCGTTCGGCGTCATTCACCGTTGTATAGGCCACATAAAAAAAACCGGGCTGTCGCACCTGGCAGCCTTGATAAGATCGAGACTAGCATCTTCAACTTTATTTCAAAACGAAAAAGAAGGCCAATATTAGCGATTTTTTTCACGCAAATATATCTCTGTTGCGGCGTGAGTGGGGCATCAGTTAGCATCCTTGAATGCGCCTATTGTAAGTGCTGGTCCACTACAGGTAATCTCTCGGCGCCTCTATTTTTTTATATTGAATTTTTCATATATCTAAGTGTTTAGCGACCCCCTTCGACTTCCATGTATCCATGTTTGACTGTAGTTTGTTCCGCCACAGTGTTATACTTTTACATTTTTGCAGCCATTCATGAAACAAGGCATTTTGGAGCAGATAAAATTAAATGAAAAAAAAAAAATGCAATCAAAATTTAAGAACTTGAGAGCAAGAAATAAGAATACAATTTCGACTTTACGGTAATTAAATAATTGCAGCTTTAGCTTTTTGAGATAATAAGCCATCCCTCTGGCAAGATTAAATTAATGACCCAGAAACTTGTCAGATTCATCTCACCATCTTTGCAAGGATCTGTGGGCAAAATACTGATATTACAAAGTTTCACCTAGGCTTTGCATACAAAAAAAACTGTTAACAATGCAGCTAAAGAAATTTCATTCTTTGATGATTATTTGGTCTCCATGTTCCCCCTTTAAAAAAGCATGTCTTGTGAAAGCCTTGACCTTCGTCTCATCGCTGCTTCGTTTTAAGGTTCATCGCTGGTTTAAGGTTCACGCTGGTCTCATCGCTGATTCCTTTTCATGCTTTAGAAAAGAATAACAGCATCGACATAGAAAAGTAAACAAGAGCTCTTTTTTTCAAATGTCACTCAAATTAAATTGCAGCCTTATCAGAGGCTTCATAAATATGCTTTGCGCAGCTTAATACAAGCATGAAAGGTAATAAAAAATAACACTAAAGAGAAACAATTAGTTGTTTTAGATTGATAAACTTACCTCTCAGAACTGTAACGTTGCAAGTTTTTACTGTCATAAGTTACTTATTAGCAGAGGAAAGCAAGCTGGAAGTTTCATTTTTAAATTTCGCACGGTAATTTCTGCCCACGACTTTGAAAAATTCTACAATGTTATTTCTGTATTTTCACAACATTGGCGCGATGGAATTTTCTGAAACTTGGTATACTAAGTCTATGGCACCCACCAATGACAATCAAAGGTGAACATTTTGGCAGAATTCAGCCTGGTTGGGATAAGAATAAGGCAATTAGAAAACTCCAACCAAAAATTGTATAAGAAACCTGACGTTTCACAGCCAGACCGGCTTCTTCCTCAGGGGTAAGAAAGCCAGAGATGTACAGCGGTATATACGCTTGCTCACCTTGCGTGAGAGATTCGACGTGACCTGTCGCAACCCTGGCAGTAGAGGCAAAGCAACGTCCCAGTGGACGCGGTCGATGTTCAGCGTTGTCTGTTGAATGTGCCAGCATTCGAGGAGGAGTCGCTGGCGGGGTTTCCTATTTTTATCCAGAATTACCGCGTTGTCCGGGTGGATGTGGTGGTGAAACCACTTGAAGTGTACTGCTGCTGCACTCTGTTGGCTATTTCAGTTGACAGAGGTCATTTTTGTGCTGTCGCATCTTTTCATGGAAGTTCTTTGTTTCCCCCAATATAGGAAGCAGGGCCATCGGCGCACTGGATCCGGTATACGATGTCTTGAGATTTCTTCGCAGGCGGGTGATCTTTGGGGCGATGGATGAAGCTGCTGATAGTGGTGGATGACTTGTGTGTGACATTGACCCCTGACCTTTTCAGTATGCGAGCTATTGTTTCGCTCACGCCAGCAACGTATAAGATTGACCCGCATTGTCGTTGCAGAGACGCAGGTGCCGCGTTTCTGCTCTTGCGGAGGGCTCTGCGAACAAACGTTTTTGAGTAGTCGTTTGCGCCAAGGTAAGCCAAGGTGATTCTATCCCTTTTCTCCTTCCACCACTGTTGTGAAGATAAAATTCTTTCGGCCTTCCGAAAAAGACATCGCACCACAGAAAGCTTGTGGCATGTGGGGTCGTTCGAGCTGAAATCGAGGTAGCGTCTTGTGTGGGTGGGTTTCCTAAACACTGAAAAGAACAGGTTCTGTACCTCTTTCCCACTAGTACATCTAGAAATGGTAAAGCTGAATGGTTCATTCTTTCCACTGTGAAATGAATGACAGGCTCAACAGAGTTCAGCCATATGAACAAGTTGTAGACCTCACCAGACTTCACCACACAGAAGCAATCGTCCACGTAGCGCACAAACATCTTGGGTCTGTGGTCAAACACGGAAAAGCGCCCACTTCTCAATGTCCGTAACAAGTGCTGCCACTGTGGCCGTTATCGCCACACTTAGGGTGGTCCCACTGGTCTGCTTCAAGAAGGCAACACAGAATCTCTTCTTTTCGGTGTTCAGGAAGCCCACCCACACAGGACGCTATCTCAATTTCAGCTCGAACGACACCACATGCCATAAGCTTTCTGTGGTGCGAAGTCTTTTTCGGAGGGCCGAAAAAATTTCGTCACAGCGATGGAAGGAGAAAAGGGATAGAATCACCACTTACCTCAGCGCCAACGACTAGTCAAAAACATTTCTTCGTCGAGCTCTCTGCAAGAGCAGAAACGCGGCACCTGCATCGCCGCCGTCAGCGAAACAACAGCTCGCATACTGATACTGAAAGGGCAGGGGTCAACGTTGCACACAAGCCATCCACCACTATCGGCAGCTTCATCCCTCGCCCCAAAGATCACGCACCTGCGAAGAAATCCTAGGACACCGCATACCGGATACAGTGCGCTGACTGCCCAGCATTCTATATTGGGGAAACAAAGAACTTCCATGAGAAGATGCAACAGCACAAAACGACTTCTGTCAACTGAAACAGCCAGTAGAGCGTAGCAGCAGAACACTGCGAGTGGTTTTACCACCACATCTACCAGGATGACCCAGTGACTCTGGATAAAAATAGGAAATCCCGCCTGCGACTCCTACTTGAATGCTGGCACATTCATCACACAGCAGAGAACATCGACCACTTCACTGGGACATTGCTTTGCCTCTACGGCCAGCGTTTGCGACGGGTCGCGGCGAACCTCTCACACGAGGCGAGCAAGCGTATATAAGCGCTTCAAATCTCTGGCTTTTTCACCCCTGAGGAAGAAGGCGATCTGGCTTTAAAACGTTGGGTTTATTAATAGAATTTCTGGTTGGAGTTTTCTAATTGCTTCATCGATGTCAATGTACTTCAATTTTATCAATTAGAAAGTAAGTAGGACCCAGTAGACACCTTCAAAATTCATGACGTCACAGTGCCTGGTGTGGGAATCGCAAAGTGGCGTCTCCACCCGCAGTTTTTTCTTGCACGTTTCCTTGCTTACCAAGTGTCATGTCGCAGTAAAAGTGGTATTTTCGGGAATGTGAAATTGTAGTTTACTAATACACGAAAAAGTATCTTGGTCTTTAGATTTCCTTTAACACAATGCAGACACTTGTTCTGTCAACATTACAGTTCATTTCTACAGGTTCACCACCACTGTAAAAATTGATATATAGATCGAATTTATTTTTCCCCATCATTCAAACATAAAACAGAACTGGTTTTCCTACTTGTCGGACTTGATAAATATTTCCGTTGTATTCTCTTCCTCTTCTGATGAAGATTCTGAGGGTGGGTCATTAATCCATTGGTCCAGGTCCAAGCTGAACAGGAAACATGCTTTTTATAACACCTTCTATCAATGTACCTAGTGCCACTCTTTTATATTCCAGCCTGATCCCTGGTACAGCAATCAGAACGAATTACCAAACACATCAGAATCACTTTACACACACACAATCAAAGTGTTTGCTGGGGTTTAATGCACTAAAACCATGAAACGATTATCAGATATATCGCAGTGGAGAGCTCTAAAAATCTAGACCATTTGTGGTTCATTAACATGCACAGAAGTTCAAGTACACATGCCTCAAGCATTTTCACCTCCATTGAAATTGGGCCACAGAGATTCGGTCTCATGCCCATCAGTCAAGTGCCATAACCGCTAAACAACCGTGGTGGATCGCCAACACGCTTTAGCGCCACAATTTTAGATCGTAGCCTTAGTCCTAGTGGAGTAATTATAATACATCACCAAAGGCATCAGAACAATTTAACCCCACACACACACCCGCCCATCTACCCACCTACACTCACACCACTGAAATTTAATTCCTTGCATTATTAGTGTCAATCTAGGTAGCATCCACACAGCCAGTACAAAAGCTGAAAACTTACAAAAGCCGCTGTTTATCAAATTATGCAACAATGTTGAAGGAATGATACCCATTGAAAGTGAAATTGAAAACACTATCTATTTCACATAGACAGATTCTTAAAGTATCCGGATTTTAAAATAAATTGATACCTGAAGGTAATGTACTTGTGCCACTAAAGCAGGGGTGGAAGTCGGCTTCAGTCTTTTGGAGCAGCTTTGGGAGCAGGGATATTACGGTTTGAAGCACTAAAAGGGGGAGCTTTGGAGCAGTTCTGGAGCACCAAAGATGTATTTTGGAGCATCAAAATTTAGTTTGGAGCAGTAAAAGGGGAGTTTTGGAGCAGTTCTGGAGCACCAAAAGATGTATTTTGGAGCATCAAAATTTAGTCTGGAGCAGATTTCTCGCATAACACATCACTGTTGATTAGAATTTCGCTTCCTTATAAAACCAAAAAAGTCAGTGGTTTTACTAAGCATTCAAGGCTGATCAAGTGACCAGACTTCCCCCAAATTGATAAATCTATTAAATCTTACAACATCAAAGCTGAAGGCACAGCAACCTCAAAGAGAACAACATAAATGGCACTCTGGGCAGCTACAAAAACTCAGACGATCGAAAAAAATTGATGTAAAAATGTGTCAATGTTCAAGATGTGAATAAAGCACCGCCTCCAACATGAACAGAAAGTCAATTAGACTAGAGATGAACTAATAGAAGCTATTTTCATACTAAAACAATAGGGCTCTATAAAATGAGTGTAAAGAATTTATCTTCTGGTCATTTAAAGTGCTACAGCTGACACGAGAACTGCGAAGAAATTTATATAGGTTCGCCGCGCCATTGCTAAGCAACTAAGTGATTTTTTTATTGTGATATGAACTGTATATACACTTGACGGGTTTTTCCCCTCACCGCCATGTTTCACGTAAACTATAGGTCGGTAACATTTCCCGCGCGTGAGATGCGCAAGCTAGGGTAGTGAGCGCTGCTCAAGAAGAGATTAAACGAGGCAGTCGATATCCGTCGGTGCTCGAAGGGCGGTGCATGCAATAGCATCCCACCGGGTGTTACACCTGCCTTCGAATGCTCAAGCAGAGATAAACACGCTGCCACTCGTCTTGAACGAACATGAAAAAGACCCGGGGAAAGGGGGGGATGTGTGCTTGAGCAGATGTGGTGAATTTTGATTCTAAGGCGTGGTTGCGATAAGCTGGCGCACGCGCTATCGGCGACCATCAGCATGCGGCTGGCTCGTAATCCTTTTTACCTGATGAGCCCTCAACAGAAGAGATTTGTGCCATAAGAGCATTTCACCCTGGCGCGGCCGTCCTATTCTCTTACACCAGCGTTACTGTAGAGTGTCGCGATGTCGGATCCAAAAGAATAGCTTTCAGTCTTTTGTATTGTCACGCGGTCCTGATGTTGATGAAGGTAGCAGCCGCTGTTTTCACGATGTGAACTTTCATTTTTGGTGAACCTGTGCCCAGGAAACGAAACGTCACTATGAGCAATATGTGCTGTAGACTGAAAACAGCACACCAGAGCTTCGGCCGTCGATAATCTGCCAAGCAGCAGAGTGCGTGGGCATTTATACATGTGCCATCAAAGATTCCAGCGGTATCACTAGCGGCTGCATAAGTTTCGGAACTCTAATGTACGCGTCGTGCGCGTAATCTCATCGGAAGGTTCTAAAACTATCTAAATTGTTTCCAGTCTCAGGCACGGTTCGCGCAAGGCAGTGTTACACGCGTAATGGTGTGGTAAGCAAAATAAGAAAGGAGCGCCTGCGGCATTAGCATTACAACATCACAAATTCTTGCTATTGCAGTCATCCCTCACCGGTTAAAACAGATTTTTATTTTTTTTTGTTTTTTCAGTTATATGATTCGACTAACAGCTTTGCTGTTTAAACATAAAGTCGCATAATGAAGTATACACACAACGCCACCTAACACGATTCATGCATGAACCGAAATAAAACGTTACTAGTGAAACAGAACCAATACACGTGACCGAACTACTTTGATATGGACGCGGTTGCGTCCTTAGGCAGCACACGCGTGTTGCTCGGTCTATGATAAACTCTACTAAATCGGCGTTGCACACGCAAATTGCCATTTAGGCGCAGATGGTCAAATTAGTGCAAATGGCGCAAATGGCGCAGCAATTCCACCCCTGCGCACTATAAGCACACTATGACCAATACAACCTTTTTCAAGGGTTGCAGCTAGGTAAAACATGTTGAGCATGCAGCTTCACGTGTCCGAGAATCGAAGCACGTGACGCGAGGTACTTACAACAATTTAATTTTCTAATGTTAAAAAATTAGTCCATAGAACCGCACTGCCAATGAAATAGGGAAGCATCGTTGTGGAAATTTGCCGACTTCTTCTCAGACCACCTCGATTATGTGCATAACATAAAAACTACGCCAAATCAAGCCAAAATTTTACACGCTGGAATACGTGCAATCATTCAATTTGACAGGAGTGCACCCAATTTCAAAACATCGCAATCAAAACGCAAACGACAATTCGAGTGCTACAAGTGCCACGCTCATTTTTATTATAGATATGTATTCCTTCCCTTCAAGGGCGGCCACTGCAATGAGTTTCATTGATTCTGCATGAAACCACAACTTGGATTGCATATGTGTATCTTACACTGTGTGACAGTCGGAGCATCTACTACCCGACGCACGTGGTTCGTAGTAACCATGCCAACGACGCAGTCAAAAAGAGTGGTAGCAAGGTATTGTGTGAAAGCCACCATGAGGCGACATTTACCAAATGTCTTTATGAGATGCGCGCTGCGATTGGAAGCGGTCTTTGACGTCGGTGAACGAATTGTGAGGGTGCTGACAGCCCCTGTAAAGTTGTTTGCGCCGCGTGGCGCACGTATCGCACAGAAGCTGTGTTTCGGTAGCGACAACTATTGAGCGATAGGTGGCGTGTTCACGAGCGGTGATCACTACTATCATCATCATGGTTAGTAGAGCGGTAGCACCGGCAGTGACACCTGGCGGAAGGCAAGCCTTGGTGGCGGGCAAGAGAGCTGAGCGAGTCTCTCTTGGTGTGGAGCGGTGGCGCGGATGGTTGCCTCCAGCGGTGGGTCTGCCGAGGACGGCACCGCAGTCTGCGGTGGGCCCACGTGGCGAGTCGGGCGTTAGCGACACCGCCTTGTTAATTATGTTGTTGAGAGTTGTTTGCTATTGTGTAAGGATGTCGTAGGGCGTTAACCACGATTGATGTTATAATAATTCGGCTGACGATATAATTGATCAAAAAGTAGTTAAATAAATCTCTTTTGGTTTGGTTTGGAACGACCACGCCTGCTGAGTTTGTTCACTCCAAGAGCCTGGGGCGCTCGCCGTATCGAGATCCCACACTGGCGCCCAATGTGGGGTTCTTGGAGCATCGGATTACAGTTTTCGCAGTGCGGTACAAGCTTTTGTTAGAGCTGGGGTAGAGTAGGCCAAGGGGGACTTCTCATTGTTACAGTCAGCAGTGTGCTTTGTTGAGAGCGAGCAGATCGGTATTTGTGATGTGTTGAACGTGTCGGCACATTCAGTTTTTATTTTTTCTGCTCGCAAGCGTTTTTTTGTTGTTGTTGTTGGTTGATTTTCAAGAACGTTGTTCAGTTGTGACGAGAGCCATGCGGTCTGCATCCTGGGGTGAGCAAGGCTTAGAGCACGTGGATTGTAGGCCAAGCCCGAAGCTAGTGAGTACGGAAGCCTCGTGGGTGGTCCTATTTTCTGTAAATAGCTTCTTCTATTTCTTTGGATTAAGGGTGTCGGGCGTCGTGACACCGCTCGGGACGGTGGACACCGATCGCTTGGTGTCGGCACGAGTGACGGTTCGTCGCGACGATGGCAACGTTGCTGATGCGGGACCGGTTCTAGGGTGAAGTCGTTGAGCCGGACAGTGCAGAGCGGGGTCGACAGGGCGGTGTCGTGCACGAACATTATGTAGGGACATGGGTTTTAATGGGTTGTAATGTTTTGTTAGAGCTTGTGTAGCGGATTTCTTCTCTTTTGGGAATATGGTTTGAATTAAGGTTAGAAAAATGTGGAACTGCTGACACACCCTGTAAAGTTGTTTGCAACGCGGGGTACACGTGTCTCGCACAGAAGCTGTATTTCGGGAGTGACAACTATTGAGCGATAGGTGCCGTTGTGTTCGCGAGCGGTGATCACCTCTATCATCATCATGGTTAGTAGCACGGTAGTGTCGGTGGTGACCCCTGGCGGAAGGCAAGCCTTGGTGGTGGGCGAGAGAGTTGTGCGAGTCTCTTTTGGCGTTGGGCAGTGGCGTGGATGATTGCCTCAGGCGGTGGGTCTGCCAGGCACCGCGGTCTGTCTGCGGTGGGCCCACGTGGTGAGTCAGGCGTTGACACAGCCTTGTTTATCACGTTGTTGAGTGCTGTTTACTATTGTGTAAGGATGGCCTAGCGAGTTGATCACGATTGCTGTTATAATAATTTGGCTGACGATATCATCGATCAAAAAGTAGTTAAATAAACATATGTGTAGTTTGGTTTGTTCCGACCGTGCCTACTGTGTCCGTTCACTCAAGAGCGTGGTGGTATTACCAGCTCTAGACCCCACAGAGTGAAATGTGAAAGAGGACGTTTCTCATCCACTGCTCGAGTTTTGAACTTTGAGGACACATGTCTTCGCATTCCGTGCCCCAATTTCTATCATTCTTGTTGCATTCATCACAGTAATCATCGCTACATGCGTTTCGGTGCTGAATAAGGCTGGCCCAAAAGTGTCGCAGGACCCCTTGAAGTAGCGAGGTGCAACTGCTGAACACTTGCTGATTTTTGTTTTGTAACGAAGCCTTCCCAAGCCACGCGAAGCCAAACGGAGCTGAAAGTACGAAGAGTAGACAAATCTGAATACTACCTACCATTCTCATGCATGTTCGCTGAAGTGCCACGCATTGCAGCTCCCATAGACACTAGTGCCTGGGTTATTTCTATTGCCTTTATAGGAAAATCTATGGGGCATGGGCAGCAAGCGGCGAAAACCACGCTAGTACACTGCACTTGCAATGGCGCCAGTGCAAAGGCTTATTCATGGCCTATGTCCCTCCTCTATCACTCGGAAAGCCCCCCCCCCCCCCCTTTCTTTCTCTTTCTCCCCTTCATTCGTTCACTCTGCGTCCCCTCCTCCTCCAATACAACATTGTCGCTGGCTTCCCAACTGCGCACCTTCTTTCAGAAGCGCACTTGCTGCCACATTTGTCACAAAGATTTTCCAACAACCACATTATAACTGGTCTTTCATCTTGGTGTACTGTGCAAAAAGCACTATGCATATACAAAGCATTCCATGGGAGGGTAAACGGCAGTCAAAATAGACCGCATTGTAGTCAGTCCTGCACTACAGGGGTTATGTTATACTAAGTCATCTGCACTGTATTAAAGCGTGTGGGGATCTGAGGCGCGCCCGCGACCATTTCGCGGGCATTCCGCTGCACGGCCACACCCTCTTGCTTTTTCTGCTCTGGTAAATGCGCGTGGCGATAGATGGCGCCACGTGCGGGCGCGGCACGTGTTGCGTGCGCGCCAAGGGAGCTGCTCTCTCCTCTGTGGTCGGCGCCGGGTAAGCACGTGTTTTCCTTCGTCCGCGTCCCCTTTGGGAATCGCCGGACTGTAGCCTGCCTGGGGTGGCCTTTGGCACCTCGGCAGACGTGTTTACTTGAGTGCTAGCTTCGGTACCGTACGCTAAGCCCACAGCGATGCTTAGTGCTTGAAGTGGTCGTAACACACCGAGCCGCACTTGCCAGTAGGCCTACGTGTACGAGGTTTGCCCTAACACTCGCGACCAGGCCCAGTGGCCATCGTGAGAGTGTGCAGCATAGCCGCGAGGGACCTTTTCCCGACTGGCGTGTCAAAGCTCTCCATTGCCAGCTGCGACGTGCTCGCGGTTTCCCTTATTGTGAACATCCGCGTGCGGGTGCCTTTGCTCCCCGCGTCCCGGGAGCGGACGTTGTACTGTTGTTCTGGGTGCCGCCAAGGGCAATAAAGTGTTGTGTGTTTTGTATTGGAACATTGTCTGTTTGCCGTGCCGCGCTAAACGCCTGATTACTTGAGCACGCGCGGAGCGGTGCGCTACACGTGCGTAGATGACGAAGTCGCGGCCCTGTGGCTCGCTAAGCGTGAACCCGCAGTGATCATCCGCTGCAGTTGGTAGCGGGGTCACCATAAGCGCAGCGTTTCACATGGACCCTCTATTAGGGGTGAAGCTTCTTAAGGCGTAAGTCGGTCGTCACCTGTATGTATGCATGTATGTATAGTAACCATCTCGCAGCATATTCACGGAGTGAATGATGATGAGCGGGGCGAAGCTTCGAAGGGTTTTATCAGGTAACCGTAAATCATCTGCTAGACGTGTCCGCCCATCGTCTGTCTCGTCTGTTTGACGCACGGACGAATGCACGGACGAGCACAGGGACGAATGCACGAATGGACAGATGTATGCAAGGACGGACGAATGCACGGAAGCAAGAATGAGAGGACAAACGAAAGCATGGACGGACTGGCGGACGCTTCGCCCCAATCATCATCATTCATTTCGTGGATATGCTGCGATTTTTTTTTTTCGAAAAACTATTCCCTCATCTGACCAGTCTCCCTTGGACATGCAGTGACACAAACTTGCCCATGGGCTACTTGAAATACCACTGAGCTCATCGATTGGTCCTTTGCCCAACAAAACGGCATCTTGGCCCTGCAGTGATGTAGTTTCGGCCACACAGTCCACATTTTCATTTTCGTGTGCTGCCCTCTCTGCCATTTTCCTAGAGCTCGAAACTACCGGGAGAAGCGGTACTGCCAGAACAAAAGCCTCGGAGATGCGTGTCTCTATTTTGCCGCTAGGGGGAGGGTGCTCCCTCCTCATGCCACTATGGCACATGCTCTTGTGGGGTAAGCCCGGCTCAGTTGTTGGCTGCGCGCCGATGACTTATTGCTTACGTCATGACACGTTGCCGAAGTGGGCGGAGGCACAAAACTGACTACACCTTCCCCTTGCCTATGGCAGAAAAGGGGGGCGAGGCTGCACACAAATTTGAAACCGGCTGAAACTGATGTTTTAACCCCTGCAACTTCTTTATTATAGCACACACTTGCAAAATCCTGGTGGCAGCAAGTCCGCATAGCAAAAGTGTGCATATTTCCCTTCATTACAATGTTTGGAGCTTGGGGTTCTTTACTGGCCTTTTAAGAAATAAGGGGCGAGCAGGAGATACTGCCTGTGTGAAGGGTAGCAAAGGTGAAAAGGACACCACTCCCTTATTTTTGAATGCGGGGTGGTGAGGCACTATATTTTGGCGCGGTAGCAGGCATGCGCTTTAGTCCCATAGCTATTACAGTACTATCAAGAAAAGAAGCAGAGTGTACACTGCAGGACCCTTCAGCTTAGCCTTCAAGAGAAGAGCACGTAATCGCTGGCCTGCGCAAGTTCTCGGTGGATGCATCAACCGCTTGGAAAAGAACCAGTATGTACGGACCATATTTGCACGATTGAAATAGACTTGAGTATGGATCAGAACCCCCCCACCAAAAAAAAAAAAATAGTGTGAAAAAATTGCACCAGCACGTTTCATTAAAAATAAATTTTATTTGCAATGTTTTCGAATAAAACAATGTCGAATTTCGGTATGCCAAGGTGGCTTCACGGCAGTGCTTGAAAGCTGTGCAAAAATGGCAGGAATACGCGCAGACATCACGCAGAATGACCGTTTATAAGTATCATTGTATGCCTACTGCAAGTACAGTTATGTGCCCACTATGCGCCTGAAGGGCAACATGCAAACCTAATGCATGTGTTCCCTTTGTTGATTTCTCTGCTGCTGATGATTATTAAATATGACTGAGTCCTTCCATGTAATAAGTGGGCCTTTAAAACACCTACTCGTTGCTCAATTCACATGTTTTGATTTCTGGTGCAATTCTATGCTTCTGGCCCCGCAATTTATGATGTGTTAGAGAGAACACCTTGACTACAAGTAGTTTCAATGAATATCGTGGCTGTGGTAGACCACCTGCTAGCCATGAAGATGATCTGGGTTCAACCCTCACTTGGACCAGAAAATTTTGATTATTTACTTTATTTGTTCCTTTCCCGATTTTTTCAGTCACAACCAATGACGCTCGTGCTGATGCTGACACCGCCGCGGGAACTTTTGTGAAACGAGCTCTTTAACGTTATCGCATCAGAATAACTTTGGTACAGTGATGACAATGACAGCGGTGGCTGGATGAACCAGTTCTTTGCTTTGATGTAACCTTACCTACTGCACTTTATGGCTTCACCACAACGAACAATTTTCGGCAAATTAGTGTGCATCCATCTTGAATAAATATTAGCGCGTCTTTTCTATTCCCATCTCCATTTTTGACGCTCTAATATTAGTTCAAGATGAACGTACTTTATGGTCACTGTATATATATACACTCAACGCTTTTTTTTTCGTGTTGTTCCTTTGCATGGCATCCTTTTTTTTTCTTGTGTGAATCTAAGTGTATAAGTAACCCCTCCTGCTTAGACCGCTAAATCGGCTTGCTAAGACTCTATAAATAATAAGTAATTGAAGACTAACCCTTCGGGAAGTGGGACTTTCTTCTGTGCTTTGGGTGCCACTGGGTTGAGCTCACCAGAGAATAGGGCCAGTAGTTCGTCACTCACTTGCTCACCCCGTGCGTGCATCTTGCTCACTTGCTTCACCAAGTTCAGGGCACAGCAGGCCTGAATAGAGGCACCATGAAAGGCGCATTTATTCATATGCTTACGTTACCCTGAGGGGCATTGCAAAGGATGGGGTGGATACTATTAATAAAGCTACAGTAAAAATACAGAACATAAAAATAGTAGGCTTGTGCAAATAGTAAAATTAAAGTTCAAAGCGAATAATGAATTGGTCGAAGTATTTCAAATTGAATTCAAATATATTGCATAGTATAAAGAAAATGAGCATATCTGTTGTGATCCAACTAACCTGTACAAAATATGTTTTTTAACTGAAATAAATAAAAAAAATTTTTTAACTGAAATAATCTCATAATCATATGGTGGTTTTGGGACGTTAAAACCCACATATCAATCAATCAATTAACTGAAATAAGGCATGAAAATGTCATTCTTTTTGATTCAAATGAAGACTTGGTTCATAGCACCTGAGTGAAACAAACTTCAAGGGTTTTGAAGGATTTTCAAGAACCTCATAAATACATTTAAAGGACCTAAAATAAAACTTGAAACCACAGAAAATGACAGCACTGTTTTTTACAGCATCAACATTTTAACTTTAACTTATTTGTATGGTTGGCACGATGAGCGCAATTAAATTATCATGGACTGATTTTGCTTTTGTGTCTCAATGTGTTTCGTACCCTTCCATGCGACTTTTAAGGGCAGACTCCTCCATTGATGACACGTCCAAGCTCTTCCCACATGGGAAGACTGACTGATGCGATTTTGACATATCTGGTGCAATCCACAACCAAGACTGCTCAGAATAGTTCCACCATAAGCGACGCTACTGCAAGTATCCGCGCGCACTTGCACAGTCTCCACAAAAAGTCGGGCTTAGTAAGTCATTGCTGCTGTAACCGCACAAGTGCTACCATAACCACAGTGTTCTAGAAGAGTACACTATGCTAAAACACTGCATATGGGTAGTGAAATGGATTGGATTGGATGGTTTGTTGGTTTGAGAGCACATAGTTACCAGGTTTGCAAAATATTCGCTAAATTATGGCTGAACGAACTTCGATTGACAAAATTCAAGGATTTTTGAGGACCTCAAACAAATTTAAGGGTCTTCAAGACCTTGAAATGCCATTTTAAAATTCAAAGGTTTTCAAGGTTTTCAAGGATTTCTACGAGCCCTGGAAGTGAAAACCACTTTAAATAAAAGCAGGATTTGGCTTTTAAAAGAACGCAAGTAATAGGGACACCACACACAGATTGAAAGGGGGCCACATGCATATTTAATCACTCAGTTATAATATTTCGAAATTTCTAATATTTAAATCTGAATATAAGTGAATTGGAATGTGTAGATGTTTGTACAGATGACCGAACCGCTCAAATAATCGTACAAGCTTGGAAATGTGCAGACTGGAATTTCTGTAAAACGAGCCCAGCACTTGTGTTGTCACCTTTTTTCTGGCCGTAAGTATCCTACTATGAAAAACCAACTCACCCGAAAAATCGATGCTTCTTTAATGCTATCACGTAAGGCAATCCGTAGACAGTTTGCCAGCTAACACAATCCAATGTAAGGTTTCTACTTGCCATCATCCCTATGATGGCTACTAAACAATTGCAGGCACAAGTTACCTTAAAGTTTTATATTCTTGAATTAGAGAGACAATGCACCCTATCTCTAGGCTGAGAAGTGTTCTTTGTTGTTTGCCACGGTCTCTTTGGCAAACGCGTCAGTTACCCTTCATGACCAGCGGTTATCCAGCCTACGTGCCCGGCACGTGTAATTTCTTCTCTTCATTTTCAACTAGGATGTCCTTCACACCCATTTGTTCTTTCACCCCCTCTGCTCTCTTCTAAAATCATTTTCCTTTCCATTGCTCGCTGTGTCGTTCCTCAATGAAAGTCTAACCCTGTTTGAAAACTTCCAGATTTTGGCTCCAGAGGAAAGTGTTGGTAAAATGCAGCTGTTTTATACCTTCCTATATAAGCATAGTTGTAGGCTATAATTCATGATTATTTGAGAAAGCCAATGTATATTACGGGCCAAACTCGTATTGGAAAAAAAGGAGCACAAAAGACAGAGCACAGAAAATAGGAGGAAACAAACAACAGCACTGACTTACAACAAAGTTTATTTGTAAATGCCAAGGAATACTATGCACAGTCCTAAATAAAAGAAAAAATAAACAATGATAAACAATGATTAAAAAAAACACTATCAGCCTTGACACTAAAAAGTACAACTACTACCAAACCCGCCCCCGCTAATTGATTCATTGATATGTGGGGTTTAACGTCCCAAAACCACCATATGATTATGAGAGACTCTGTAGTGGAGTGCTCCGGAATATTCGACCACCTGGGGTTCTTCAACGTGCACCCAAATCTGAGCACACGCGCCCAAAACATTTTCGCCTCCATCGAAAATGCAGCCGCCGCAGCCGGGATTCGATCCCACGACCTGCAGTAGTCATCAGGGTGGTCATCCTCCTGCGGTCCTCTATCAGCAGCAGCCACCAGGCGGGCCCAGCTTTAGAGCATTGTGCACGTACGTGCTCTGGATGTGCGGGGAAGCTGGCTCGCCCGTGGACCACCAGGGCCTCCAGCGTGGAGTGCGGCTCTGGAAGCAGCCTGTGCACACACACCAGGATTGCAAGTTCCGCTCACTATAAGCAGATCCGGACTTCTTTTTGTAGAATTTCACAGCAATTTGTCAAGGAAAGCTAAGAGACAATGTCGCCAACAAAAGCCTCCCTGTCTTTTCCTGTCTGTCTCATTGTCATTGTGTTAAACAAAGACAGAGTTCTCACATTTTAAGTTCTTTCCTAAGGTTACTAGTCACGTTTTCTCGAGAGCATATTTACATTGTTTCAGCAAATATAGGTATTCTAGTGATCATTACATTCATTAACAGCACATTGGATGTTCCCGGATACCGCATTTGTCGATAACCTTGAGCAGTTGAGCGTGCAAGTCAAGCATACGCTGGGGGAATCAAACAAGTAATGGAGATCATGCACAGGCAAATGTGCATCCAACCGAACCTGCAGACAATCTCGAAAAATGAATATGTGGTTTGTCCATGACTACATATATTTTTGCCGTACGAAATTAAAAAATTTTTTCAACTCCCATATCTATTTAAAATTTTCAGTTGTGGAAAAATTATTTTTGTGCTTTTTCTGGGCTTACTTTATGGTGAGATTTGCCTGTTAGATCAATGGCATCTGGCAACTCTGTTGCACTCCCAACCACCTTAACACAACCACTAAAACTTCAAATGGCCAATATTGCCGCGTTCCATTTCCCAAGTTTTGTTATCGTCCCAAAATACTACACGATTATCAGCGCAAACCGCGCCTGCAGTTTTCGAGAAGCTTCCGGACTGTAGTAGGTTATTTCGATAAGATCACGCCCACTATGCGAACGGTACAGATTATTCTGGGACCTACGCCACCGCCAGCGATAACGCTAGAACATTCGACGGCAAGAGTATAAATGCCGATGCGCTTCGCCGCTAGTCAGTTGTTGATCGAAGGCCGACGCTCGGTTCGCCGCTATCAGTCCAAGACTGCTATCTGTGCAAGACTGCTGCTGTAATTGGGCTTTCCGTTTACCGGGCACAGGTACGGCCAAATAAACAGTTAAATCCCAACACGAAGTCTCCTGTCTTCGGCCACGTCACGACCCCGTGACAATATTAAGGCACCGCTGTTGGCTGAAATAGCTATCCAAAAACCTCGTAGTGCTACTTTCATGCCAAGGAAATGTTTGTTTGGAAAAAAAGTCGCAAGAAAAATCGCGAAGATCACACACGCGCAACTGATTAAAAAGGGAACAAGCAACAATGTTCGGCCTGGCTACGTGCACTGCAGGACAAAAGCCTCTCCCATGTTTCGCCAGTTAACACGGTCCTTTGCTTGCTGCTGCCAATTTATACCCACAAACTTCTTAATCTCATCTGCCCACCTAACCTTCTGTCTCCCCCTAACCAGCTTGCCTTCTCTGGGAATCCAGTTAGTTACCCTTAATGACTAGCGGTTATCCTGTCTACGTGCTACATGCCCGCCTATGTCCATTTCCTCTTCTTGATTTCAACTATGATATCCTTAACCCCCGTTTGTTCCCTAATCCACTCTGCTTTCTTCTTGTCTCTTAAGGTTACACCTACCATTTTACTTTCCATTGCTCGCTGTGTCATCCTCAATTTAAGCTCAACCTTCTTTGTAAGTCTCCAGGTTTCTGCTCCGTAGCTAAGTACCGGCAAGATACAGCTGTTATATACCTTCCTCTTGAGGGATAGTGGCAATGTACCTGTCATGACTTGAGAGTGCTTGCCAAATGTGCTCCATCCCATTCTTATTCTTCTAGTTATTTCAATTTCGTGGGTCAACTCCGCGGTTATTACCTGCCCTAAGTAGACATAGTCTTTTACAACTTGAAGTGCACTATTACCTATCTCGAAGCGCTGCTCTTTTTCGAGGTTGTTGTACATTACTTTCTTTTTTTTGCAGATTCATTTAAGACCCACCTTTCTGCTCTCCTTGTCTAACTCCGTAATCATGAGTTGCGATTCGTCCCCTGAGTTACTCAGCAATGCAATGTCATCGGCAAAGCGCAGGTTATTAAGGTACTCTCCATTAACTCTTATCCCTAACTGTTCCCATTCTAGGCCTCTGAAAACCTCCTGTAAGCACGCGGTAAATAGCATTGGGGAGATTGTATCCCCCTGCCTTACACCCTTCTTGATTGGTATTCTGTTGCTTTCTTTGCGAAGCAGTATGGTAGCAGTTGATCCCCTGTAGATTTCTTCCAGGATGTTTATATATACCTCATCGACACCCTGATTTCACAGTGTCTGCATGACTGCTGATATTTATACTGAATCAAATGCCTTCTTGTAATCTATGAAGGCTATGTAGAGTGGTTGGACTATATTCTGAGCATTGCTTTATTACCTGACTGATAGTATGATGTGGTCGATTGTTGAGTAGCCTGTTCGAAATCCTACTTGTTCCTTTGGTTGATTGAATTCTAATGTTTTTTTTACTCTGTTAGCAATTACTTTTGTAGATAGCTTGTATACTGCAGAGAGCAAGCTGATCGGCCTGTATTCTTCAAGTCTTTGTCATCTTCTTTGTTATGTATTAGGATGATGTTAGTATTCTTCCATGACTCTGGTACTCTTCCCGTCAGGAGACACCTCGTAACAGGTGGCTAGTTTTTCTAACACAATCTGTCCTCCATCGCGAGGGCGGTGAACGCGGCTAAAGCAGAGATAAGAAGAGCCGACCTATCGTCTTTTTATTACACTGAAGGCGGTTGCGATAACATCACCTCATGTGCCACGCCTCCCAGCGATTGTTACTCAAGCAGAGAGGAACACACCGCTCATGTCCACAGAGCAGGAAGCAGCTAGGAACAAGAAGAGAGGGGGGGAGTTGTTATGAAATCTGACTTTAAGGGCGTGATCGCAGGCGCACACGCTATTTACGCTGGATACCCTTTTACTGTGTACTTTCAACACAAGCAGACAAAAAGTGATTTGCTTTCTAGAGTGGCTATATAAGGTTATGAACTGAGCCTTGATCGCAAGGCAGCCAAAGCATCGTTGCGCCATTTTGGAGGTCCATTCGTACGTGCTGTAGAGATAGAATCACACTAGTCTATCACAGCAGAGCACGTGCCTGTCGACACTGTTGTTGGCCACAGCTTCTATCTCACGTTAACTATAAACTTCCGTTCATGCTTACATTATAGAAGAAGGGCCTAACAAACAGTATGACCATGTTTGGTATCATTATGGCGCCTCTCAACACATATCTGAAGAAAACCAGCAGCTGTAGCAGTCGGCTGGGCACTCTAGAGTAGTCCGATTCCATCTGTATGTGCATCGGCGCGCAAGAAATGTTCCGGGGGTCTCTAGTCACTCAAGTCACGGATATCAAACACAGAGAGTGCATCACGTTTTTGTGAGTATGGCGAGGGGCGCCGACCTTAGAAATGGCAACCCTGCCGCTGGCGCTTTTTACAGATAACGTCAGGCCTTATTATTTGGTATACCAATATAATTTTTTGGTATCACATTCATTCCTAAGAGTGTAAGTGAAACTAACAAATTGTATCTTTTGAATCCGATATCATGTAACTAAAAAAAAATGATGACTAAAAAGACAATGATAACTCCAGATAACGGATTTATCACTAGCACAGAGACAGTGTCTAGTAGACCTCTTCACCAGTTCAAAAGAATGTTTTTTATTGACCTCGGGGGTCAGTCAAACGCCACTGACGAAGCACCGAATAATAACGGAGGAGACGGCAAGGCCAAAACGACAGAACCCATACCACGTAACACCGAAAGAGCGTGAAGCAATCCAGGAACAAGTGAAGAAAATGCTCGATGATGACGTCATCCAGCCGTCAAGAAGCCCTTAGGCATTGCCGTAGTGCAGGTTAAAAAGAAAGACAAAAGCTTGCGATTTTGTATCGACTACCGCAAGCTGATCCATGCGACAAAGAAAGACGTATACCCATTACCGCGCATCGATGATTCACTTGACAGGCTGAGGTATGCACGTTACTTCTCGTCAATGGACCTCAAAAGTGGGTACTGGAAAATTGAGGTCGACGACTGAGATAGAAAAAAAAACGGCTTTTGTAACGCCTGGCGGGCTTTATGAATTTAAAGTCTTGCCCTTCGTATTGTGCTCAGCCCCCGCAACATTTCAAAGACTGATAGATACCATTCTGTCGGGCCTTAGGTGGCAGACATGTCTGGTCCATCTGGACAACGTCATTGTTTTTTAAAAAACATTTGAGGAACACCTGAGCAGGCTGCTATCGGTATTCAGAGCAATAAGGTTTGTCGGCCCGACACTGAAACCTGAGAAGTGTCATTTTGGTTTCAAGGAGCTTCGATTTTTAGGCCATGTGGTGAGCCATGAAGGTGTTCGACCTGATCCCAATAAGATTGCGGCCGTCAAAAAATTTCCAGTGCCAACAAATAAGAAAGAGGTCAGGCATTCCCTTGGCCTATGCGCATACTACCGAAGGTATATTGCCAGTTTCTCACACATAGCCTCGACGACTCACGAGAGAAGACGTTTCATTCACATGGGGCGACGATCAACAAGCGGCATTGGACTATCTCCGACAATGCCTGCAGACACCGCCTGTGCTTGATCCCTTTGCTGAGGATGCTCCTACCACAGTCCACACAGATGCCAGCAACGTGGGTTTAGGCGCTGTACTCGTCCAGTGGCAAGACTCAGCGGAGCGTGTGATCGCATATGCTAGTAGGACGTTTTCCCCGCGCTGAGTCGTACTACTCCACAACGGAAAAAGAATGTCTTGCTGTCGTATGGGCGGTTATGAAGTTTCGTCCGTACCACTACGGTCGTTCCTTACACGTAGTCAGCGACCACCATCCCCTCTGCTGGCTGACCAACTTGAAAGATCCGTCTGGTCGGCTCGCACAGTGGAGCTTACGCCTTCAAGAGTTTGATACGACGGTCGTGCATAAGTCCGGACGGCAGCACGCCGACGTTGATTGCTTATCAAGGTCACCGATAAAGCGCGACGATGACACAGAAGATGACAGCATGGCGTTTGTAGGAGTCGTCGACACC